CATCAACATTTGGAATAGAATTAAATGTTAAAAGTTCTACTAGTCCAAGAATATAATTTTTATTTGGTAACAATTCTATTGGTGGAAAATATTCAGCCTCTAATACAGATGAATTTCCAGAAATGGTTAAAGTAAACGATTCATCCATAATGATGTCTTTTGAAAAACTGACTCTTCACTTAAACTTCACTCATTTATATAGACTATCAGTCAGTTTAAGCTGTTTACACAAAAAATTTAAACATAAATGACCACAATTAAAAGTATCATAATTCTGATAATTTTCATGATTATACTTTATTAAAGTATCATTACCCAGATAATTTGCAAGTTCAAATGGTGGTTGTAGATTGCCAAAACTGTCAAAATACATTACATTTTTATTAACTTTTTTATAAGCAACCCAGTGCGTTCCAGGACCATTTTTATCATCAAGATTAATAATAGCTGATTCAATTTTTCGAGGTCCTCTTTTAGGTAATTCATTTCGCATAAAAACTCCCCGAAAATAAGGAATTTTTAATTGTTTAGCATACTTGTACAAATCATAATCAGTTAATGCTCGTTGAGGAAGTCTTACAACTTTTTTTTTTTTAGACATTTTCTCTTCTTCATTCCTTGACCTTTTGAATATGGTTTTAAGTGAAGTCCTGCTCCTTTGGAGAAAGGGTTTAAATGAAGTCCTAATCCTTGTCTATAAGGTTTTAAATGTAGTCCTTTACCAATTGCAACTGCTTCCATTTTTTTATTATGTCTATGAGCTTCTTTTAACTGTTCCTTAGCAGAACTCGCATCATTTACTGCTTTTGTTACTCCAGCAGCTCCTCCGGCAAGAGCTCCAAGAGCACTTAATCCAGCAAAAATTGGAATTAGTGGTAAAACACCTCCAACTTTTGAAGGTACTGGTAAAATTCGAGGAGCTAAAATTTTTTTTCTACCTCCTGCTTTTTTGATAGCTTTTCGAGCATTTTCAATAGCAGCTTTAATTGTAGATTGAGCATCATGACCTGGAATTATAGATTTTCTAGCAGAATCTACAATTTTTCTTAGTGCTGTTCGTTTCTTCGAAGTCACCTTTGTCTTCTTCTTTTTTCTTCTAACTCCCATACCAAGTTTCGACTTAACTTTCATTGTTCCTGATATTGCTAAAGCAGCAGCTTTTTCACCTACACTGGAATCGTTTGCTATCACACGTTGCCAAGCTTTTTCTGCTAATATCCTATCAGCAGCGTTTCTTGCTTCAATGTTTTCACGATTCTTTGAATATGAAATATCGTGTTCCTTACAAGCAGCATCCAACCGATTTACACCAGGATCACCTCGTGCTAAACGTTTTGCCAATTTTGTGCCTGGTCCACAATATTGATAACCAGGTAGATGGAATTCAAATGGTAACTTATTGATAACACTGTTAACCAGACCTTTACCTCGAGAGCTATGATGTATAATCATACTTTACTCAATGAAAGTTGACATTAGAATGATTCGAAAACTATAAAAGCCTTGTATTTATATCTTTTTTGACAGTCTACTTCATGATGCGATTCAATGAACAACCTCTAAAGTTACCAGTCGTGAATCTGGACTCGATTGTTCAACAACATGAGAAGAAAGTTAAACGTCATGGTAGTTTATTATCAGGTAGCATACGAGCAGTACTCTGTGGTCCATCAAATTGTGGAAAAACTAATGTCCTTTTATCTTTAATATTACATCCTAATGGTCTTAGATTTGAAAACATTTATCTTTACTCGAAATCACTACAACAACCAAAATATAAATTCTTGGAACAAGTTGTTAGTGATGTTGATGGAGTTGAATATTTACCTTTTAGTGAGCATGAAGAAGTAATTGCTCCTCAAGATGCAAAACCAAATTCAATTTTTATATTTGATGATGTTGCTTGTGAAAAACAAGATAATATAAGAGCTTTCTTTTGTATGGGTAGACATGTCAGCGTTGATAGTTTTTATTTATGTCAGACTTATGCAAGGATTCCGAAACATTTAGTGAGAGATAATGTTAATTTGCTAGTTCTTTTTCGCCAAGATGAAAAGAATTTGAAACATGTGTATGACGATCATATTAATACAGATATGACATTTTCTCAATTTCGTGAATTATGTTCAGCTTGTTGGAATTCTGATAAGTATGGTTTTGTTGTTATTGATAAAGATAGCAACATAAATGAGGGTAGGTACAGGAAAGGTTTTGACTGTTTTGTATTGCTATAAATAAAGATACATGTTTAAATTGTCTTAGTTGAAGTTGAGATCCTGATATATCAACATGTATAGTAAAGAAAAAGAATATTTACGTCAAATTGCTAAAGCTAGTGAAGCAATTCGACGTAAACATCGCATGTTTAAATTGGGAAAAGAAAACGCCGAACAAGTATTAAATGAAACTTTTAAACCTATAGTTCAACCTTTAAAAAAAATTGTTAATATATCTGACATTAAGAGTGAAGAGATAGATAGAGTTAAAATTAAAAAGAATGATGAGGAAATTGAAGAGGAAGAATATTCAAACTTTGATGAGGATATCAGTGAAACTGGAGTAAATCATGATGACAATGATGAAGATGATAGTGATAAATTATTAAGTAAATACATGTTCTTATTAAATCATAACAGAAAGCAATGTTTGGATACGGTGTATGGAGTACGTAAAGTCAGTGATGGGTCATTTATGATTGGAGATTCACCAATAATTTTTGACAATCAATTTATTAAAATTGGTGATAAACGTTATGTGCAAAGCGTAGGTCTATTAGAACTTTTATTTAAGAGTAAACCAAACATGCTTAAGGTAAGTAAGAATGATGAAAACAATTTTAAAGAAGTACTCCTAAATACAAATGCTCACAAAAAGAAGTATAGTTCTTCTGAATCAGTTCGAAAAGATAAAAGTTTCAAATATTTAAATATTATTTCAAATCTTTTTTCTTCTTCTTTAAATTCAACTAATAAAAAGAGACAATCAATAACTGGTTCTTCACTACCTCGTTCTATGATAGCTCGAAAAAATGTTAAAACTGATTATATTTATTGGGATGATCCGAATGAATTAGTTGACCGTTTAAGACTGCTAACGGCATCTAGATCAGCTGGTAATCCGAGTCATGACAATGAAATTATGTCTATTATTGAAGAGTTACGTGAAGCAGAAATTATATATTAATAAATGCTCAGTCGACTATAGATCAGTATAAAAATGAGCATTGATGTGTTCGGACATCCTCTTAATCGAGGAGGAAGTGTAGTAGCAAAGCGAGGACCACCTGGACCGACTGGACTTGGTTTTAAAATAAATTCACAAGGCAACTACGACGTTGAAGGTAGAAGAATTTACAACGTTTCAAAAGCTGAAGATCAAGAGGACGCTGTTAATTTAAATCTTGCTCGACGTATGATAGAGAACGAAGTGCGATTAGTTTATCAAATTACATCTTCATTGCGATCAGACATTGACAACTTTAACGTGTTATTGAAAATTCTCGACGACTCATTAACAGAAAAATTAAACAATCTTGAAAAAGCAATAAATCCAGATTTATCTTATAAAAACTCAGAAATTATTGGTCAATTAGATGCTCGTTTGAGTGCTCTTGAAAATGGACAATGAAAAATTGACAGTTGTCAATGAACTTCATACTCAAGCTAGAAAAAATTATCATCGTCGACGAGTTGAAATGCGTGATATTGATGATACTTGGCAAGCAGATTTAGTTGAAATGTTACCTTTTTCCAAAATAAATAAAGGATTTAAATATTTACTTACAGTTGTAGATATATTTTCAAAGTATGCATGGGCTGTACCTGTAAAGAGTAAAAATGGAAAAGATGTCACGGATGCAATGAATTCCATATTTGTAAAAGGACGTATTCCAAAAAACCTGCACACCGATAAAGGAAAAGAATTCTACAACTCAGAATTTCAAGCTTTAATGGAATTGAGAAAAATTAATTTCTATTCAACATATAGTAACTTAAAAGCATCCATTGTTGAGCGATTTAATCGAACACTCAAAAGGAAAATGTGGATTCAGTTTAGTTTAAGAGGAAATTATAAGTGGTGTGATATATTACCTAATCTCATTTCTGAGTATAATAATACAAAACATCGTACAATTGGAATGAAACCCAAAGATGTTACTGCAGATCATGTTGAAATTTTGAAAGAACGAATCTCCAAACTAAGAAACATACCTTTTAGAAGATCTAAGTTTAAAATTGGAGACAAAGTTCGTGTCAGCAAATTTAAAAATGTGTTTGAGAAAGGTTACACACCGAATTGGACAACTGAAATATTCACCATTGATAAAGTCAAACCAACTCGACCGGTGACTTATATACTAAAGGACTATCAAGATCAACCTGTCAGTGGAGGATTCTATGAAGAGGAACTTCTTAAAGTAAAATATCCTGATGTATATCTTGTAGAAAAAGTTCTCAAGAGACGTGGAAATGAAATTTTTGTCAAATGGTTAGGCTTTGATAATTCTCATAACAGTTGGATAAACAAAACAGATTAATGTTGAATCAATGTTGAATCAATGTTGAATCAATGTTGAATCAATGTTGAATCAATGTTGAATCAATGTTGAATCAATGTTAAATCAATGTTGAATCAATGTTGAATCAATGTTGAATCAATGTTGAATCAATGTTGAATCAATGTTGAATCAATGTTGAATCAATGTTGAATCAATGTTGAATCAATGTTGAATCAATGTTGAATCAATGTTGAATCAATGTTGAATCAATGTTGAATCAATGTTGAATCAATGTTGAATCAATGTTGAATCAATGTTGAATCAATGTTGAATCAAAGTTGAATCAATGTTGATCTTCAAAAATTTACCACTTTGATAATTGTAAATACTTTAATAATGTAAAAAGTTATACGGTAATAAATAAAAAATCAACAAATACAATAAAACTTTCTATTTATTTTTCATTCATATTTACAAATTATTTACAACTTATAAAACAGACTTAATTTTTCTTTATTTTATAATGTCCCCAAGCAAAAGTGTCACTACTTTCAGGAAGTAAGTAGCGCAGTTGTTTTACAGTTTCAACTTTGTGTAATCGAGATCTGATGACATGTTGAGTTCTCGTTTGAATCGAAAAATTTTGTAGACAATCAATATAATCGTTGAAATCTATAGTTTTCTTTACAATAACCGCTCTTACACCTTTAACTTTTTTAGTAAAATCCTGTCCATTCACACGAATACTATACATTTTACTCCGCAAGCCAACAAATTCTGTGATGATCTTACCACTACACTCATCTTTCATGAGTCCCAGAATTTTATTGTTGGCTTGCGGAATATTGTATATATTATCCTTGGGATAATCAGATGTATCAAATTTCTTGATATCATGCTTTATATCAGCATAAATGTCGTCACACTTTACTTCATAAATAAGACTATCTGTATCCGTATACATCAACTTGCAAGAATCGACATATTTTTTTAACATATAGTCATAGTGGAAATCATAAATGAGAGACTTGGATACATCAAGAACAGCAAAACCAACATATATCGGTTTGTTCATTAAAATTTCAGTTTTTCGCAGTTCAATCGCTACCAGGTTTTCATCGAAAATTGATCGACTGTGAAAATTTGGTTTCGATATGAGAGCCTCAGCTCCATAGCGACCGCTCCATTTGTTTACAAGTTTAACGTCGACGTGTTTGCGTACATTTTCCATGGTTTTTCCGTAAACCGCGTTATTCATGAGTTTAAATAAGTTCTTTTCGAATTCATTTTTCGCATTAGCTCTCCTAGTAGTATTAAAATCGATATAAGGCTTAAGCCACGTTGATTGTTTAAATTTCATGGCTCTGTGAATTTTTACTAACTCGAGACCATTAGTCAAAACCTGTTTTAAAACTCTGTAATGGATTATGTATTTGCGTTTAGGTTCTAATGTTGTCAACAACTTCGATTGTTTTGACTCTGATGGTGGATTAGAGTGTACGGAGCAGAAAGGTAAGTCACTATGAGTGTCGTGTAATTCTTTCGGATAATTTAAATCTACTTCTAAAATGTATCCAAACGGTGAATCGTCAGGAATATTGAAATCAAAATTGTCTGTCACTTTAACCCACTCAAATCCACCATAAGGTAGTGGTTGTACCATACCCCAACCATACAAATTATTTGCATCATAGTACATGATATACTTCGTTTCTTCATTTTCATTGAATTTTTCCATATACGGATTATTCGCGCTCGCATATCGATTACTACATTGACTTATACCTCCTCTTACACCACGTTCAACAAACATTAGCTTGTCAATGTCAGTAATCAATTCTAACCTCACATTAGTAAATTTTAACATCACGTCCCAAGTTAATCCCGGTGTAGTATAATAATGAGCAGGGTCCAGTCTGTAAGCTTGTAAGCATTGTTCTCTGAAATTTTCGAAAATATCTACTAACAGTAATACGTCTGTCTTCATGTATAAATCTACATAATCACTGATATTAGAACAATTGAAAGTGGACCAAACGTTTTGTGCGTGTAAATAATCTTCATCAGAAACCGTACTGTCATTAAGCGTACTATAAAACTGTTCTTTCGAGGGTAAGTTTGTTTCTTTTAATTTTTCTCGAGAATCCAAATATTCGTAAGGTAAAACCCCTTTACGCGTAAGTAAACCGATTTCGTCACTAGTGAGGTTAGAAAATACTTGATTAACGATTTTATAATCTGATAGGTATGATGCAAGCTTTTCTAAAGACGAAGCCATGAATTTAAAGGAGTCTATGAATCGAAATTTGATTTCACTGCCTTTAACACGCTTGGTAAAAGAAATGTACTTTTCTTTGTTCAGCGGTAAAAGATCAATTTTACCTTTAAATTCTAAGCAAATGTCTTTAATTATGAAATGCGCATCATACCCACTCAGATTATGGAATACAACAGGTATTACACGTGAGTCTTGGTAATTTAAATTACATTTTTCATGCGCAGGGCCTCGGTATTTACCTGTTAGGTGTGAGTGATCTCGAACTTTTTTCTCATGTGGTGAAAATTGACCTTCACAAATATGACAGATTGTAGCATCCACAAAAGCTTCAATCTCGTCTGGTGTCAGTTTGTCCATTGGAATAGGGTTTTTTATGATTGTATCCACTTTTTCAGCTAACTGCTTCAACTCCTGGGCAAACCATTTGGCTGGATCTGCTCCCACTGGACAGGAATAGTATCCGGATAATGAGTCATCGTAGCTGCACTTTACGTAATAACCAATACTGAATACTTCATGCTGTTGAATGACTTCAGTATTAGAAGTTGACTCTTGATCTTCAACAGGATTTAGCAAACACTCACAATCAGCGTAGATTACAAACGGAACTTTTTCCTTATTACCATAATTTTTAAACCAGATGAAATTTTGTCCAGGTTTGGGAAGGTTGATTTTACACTCGTTTAAATTTTGGCACTCCTCCTCATGCTTGGCTAATCTCTCTTCTGTGGCAAAATAATGAAGACATCGATCACAGATGTGTTTTCGATGTCCATCAGATGAGAGTTGATAATTTACAAGCCTGGATAAATTCTTAATCCAAACATAGTGATAATTTATTGGTACGGCAATATCAGCTGCAGCAGGAATGGCAACATCAGGAGTATCTTCATCATCACTGCCAGCCTCGTTCTCATAGAAACTTTCAACTCTTAATAAATTAATGTGTCTCTCTTTTTTGTCCAAAGTCAGGTGTAATGGAACAGTAATAAACTTTTTGTTCATTAAACGAAGTCCATAAAGATTGATAGAGATGTCATTTTGTTTCTCGAATTTTGAAATATCCTTTAACGTTACAGGAAAGTTGATTCCATTGAAATTCAATTCTTTTTGAAACTCATAGTAACTCGAAACCCGATCAGCATCCCTATTTTTTGGATATAAAGCTGATAATACTGCCCACATGAAACACTTGTTGTCCGTATTTTTAACATTGATACATGCTTTTTTCATTTTAATTTTATGTGGTAAATCAATGTAGGAACCAACTCGTGCTGGATTATATTTGTTTACGTTGATCTCCAGTTTCGTAATCGAATGCAATGTCCACTGGGATTCCTTTTCCGCAAACTCCTCTACAAACTTCAGTATCGGCTCCTTAATATTATCACAGTACCAGTCTGTTAAAACAGTTGTCTCGAAAATTACTACACTCCTCACATTAAAGTATTTAGATTCAATTTGCTCCATATCATTAGCAACTTTTTTATACTTCGCGCCAAGTACTGCATACACTTTCAGTGAACCATGTCTTTTTAATACAGATTGGATATATTCTTCAAACAGTATCCTCGCGTCATCCAAAAAAGCACTGAGATCTATGTGCACCAGGTTGATAATGAAGCTCGTCTGAAGGCGATTTTTAAAAGCATTTTGACAATTAGCCCAGCGTACACGATCTGTAATTCCCTCCTTATCAACAGCAGGAATATTGGCTTTAGGTTGAATAACTCCAGCTCCTTGTTTTAAAGAAACCTCCAACTTGGTATGAAGACAAACAAATTGTTGAATCATGTTTAAACATCTTTGTCTTTGAAACGAGCAATACAGATTGTCTAAAATATTTCGTAATGTTTCGAGATTTTTGTCACACGTAGTCATCCATCTGGTCACAAATTGAAGTCTGTCGGTATCGGTTTTTATCAAGTTCAATAAATTCGCTGCATCTTCCGTAGTTTTAAGAAGAGATTGGCATTCATCCAGAAGTGACGTATTAATCCTTTTCAACTTTTGAGGAACCTCATTATCCATATCAGGAGCTCTACGCCGTCTACCAACCATTCTAGAAAATATTAAAAATTAAATTTCCCTTAAAAAACCATTTAAATGTTAAAAACAGAACCATACTTTGATATTTTTCAAAATGGCCTCTTTAACAGTGCTGCCCTCTGCGCACACTTCCTCCTTAAACACTGATAACTATGTGGGCTGCACTCTGTGATCCTTTTCTGCAAGTTACTTCCTTCACCCCTTTATGATCTCTGCTTACTGACGGTTGTAATATAAGATACGGTACAGTTGAAGGAGCTGGTTCTAAAGTCTCTACTGTGTCCAGCTCCACCTTATATACTCAATCACATGGATACACACATATGCAACATGCGCACGCACCAATAGCACTCGGTACTTTTAGGAACTAAAAATTAATTATTACCCACTCGGTCGGTAAAACAGTTTCCTACCTTACCAATCGAGTCAAAATTTATGTCAGGAATCTACCATACCAACAACTGATAATGTAGAAATCTGCAGCACCGACTGATGGTAACACATTACCGACCTTTGGCGCGAAAATTCAAATTTACCAAAAGAAATATTCAGTGGTAAATTAATTTAAAAGTCCCTAGAAATGTCCCCAGTTCCAAGGAAAGAATAAAATGTTCACTGCGCATGCGTGACAATACCGACCTTTAGCGCGAAATTCAAATTTACCAAAAGAAATATGGTAAATTAGTTCAAAGTTCCAGCGCAAGGGTAGTTGACAATACCGACCTTTGGCGCGAAATTCAAATTTACCAAAAGAAATATGGTAAATTAGATCAAAGTTCCACCGCAAGGGTAGTTGACAATACCAACCTTTGGCGCGAAATTCAAATTTACCAAAACCAATATGGTAAATTAATTCAAAGTTCCCCCGCAAGGGTAGTCCAATTGGCCCATCGGTCGGTAAAACAGTTTCCTACCTTACCGACCGAACCAAAATTACCAACAGGGATCTACTTTACCGACTGCTGATAATGTAGGAATCTGCATTACCGACAGAGGGTATTACCGACTGAGGGGAACATACCAGTGGCGCCATCTAGCGGCAGCCGCGGGAACTATGCGCTAGTAATGGTATAGCTATACTACTCGTAATAACCTTCAAAAAAACCTACCAATTGAACGTAAATTGCAGTAGACTAAGAATAATCAATTTTATTCCATTTTTTAAAATAGAATTTTTTCCTTGAAAATGAAAAAATTCCACACAAATTCAAAAAAAAATTGATCAGCATGAGTCTATTATTTTTTTACTTTAAAACAACACGTAATAACCTTAAAAAAAACCTACAAATTGAACCTAAATTGCAGTAGACTAAGAATAATCAATTTTATTCCATTTTTTTGAATAGAATGTTTTCCTGGAAAATGAAAAAATTCCTTACAAATTCAAAAAAAATTTATCAGCATGTCTCTATTATTTTTTTACCTACAAACAACACGAAAAAACCTTCAACAAAACCTACCAATTGAACCTAAATTGCAGTAGACTAAGAATAATCAATTTTATTCCATTTTTTTGAATAGAATGTTTTCCTGGAAAATGAAAAAATTCCTTACAAATTCAAATAAAATTAATCAGCGTGTCTCTATTATTTTTTTTACCTTAAAACAAAACCTAAAACCTTCAAAAAAACCTACCAATTGAACCTAAATTGCAGTAGACTAAGAATAATCAATTTTAATCCATTTTTTTTAATAGAATGTTTTCCTGGAAAATGAAAAAATTCCTTACAAATTCAAATAAAATTAATCAGCATGTCTCTAATATTTTTTTACCTACAAACAACACGAAAAAACTTTCAACAAAACCTACCAATTGAACCTAAATTGCAGTAGACTAATAATAATCAATTTTATTACATTTTTTAAAATAGAATGTTTTCCTGGAAAATGAAAAAATTCGAAAAAAATTCGAAAAAAATTCAAAAAAAATTAATCAGCATGTCTCTATTATTTTTTTACCTTAAAACAACATGTAATAACCTTCAAAAAAACCTACCAATTGTACCTAAATTGCAGTAGACTATGAATAATCAATTTTATTCCATTTTTTAAAATAGAATTTTTTCCTTGAAAATGAAAAAATTTCACACAAATTCAAAAAAAATTGATCAGCATGAGTCTATTATTTTTTTACTTTAAAACAACACGTAATAACCTTAAAAAAAACCTACCAATTGAACGTAAATTGCAGTAGACTAAGAATAATCAATTTTAATCCATTTTTTTGAATAGAATGTTTTCCTGGAAAATGAAAAAATTCCTTACAAATTCAAATAAAATTAATCAGCATGTCTCTATTATTTTTTTACCTACAAACAACACGAAAAAACCTTCAACAAAACCTACCAATTGAACCTAAATTGCAGTAAACTATGAATAATCAATTTTATTCCATTTTTTAAAATAGAATGTTTTCCTTGAAAATGAAAAAATTCCACACAAATTCAAAAAAAATTGATCAGCATGAGTCTATTATTTTTTTACTTTAAAACAACACGTAATAACCTTAAAAAAAACCTACCAATTGAACCTAAATTGCAGTAGACTAAGAATAATCAATTTTAATCCATTTTTTTGAATAGAATGTTTTCCTGGAAAATGAAAAAATTCCTTACAAATTCAAATAAAATTAATCAGCATGTCTCTATTATTTTTTTACTTTAAAACAACACGTAATAACCTTAAAAAAAACCTACCAATTGAACCTAAATTGCAGTAGACTAAGAATAATCAATTTTAATCCATTTTTTTGAATAGAATGTTTTCCTGGAAAATAAAAAAATTCCTTACAAATTCAAATAAAATTAATCAGCATGTCTCTATTATATTTTTACCTACAAACAACACGAAAAAACCTTAAAAAAAACCTACCAATTGAACCTAAATTGCAGTAGACTAAGAATAATCAATTTTATTCCATTTTTTTGAATAGAATGTTTTCCTGGAAAATAAAAAAATTTCTTACAAATTCAAATAAAATTAATCAGCATGTCTCTATTATTTTTTTACCTTAAAACAACAAGTAATAACCTTCAAAAAAACCTACCAATTGAACCTAAATTGCGGTAAACTATGAATAATCAATTTTATTCCATTTTTTAAAATAGAATGTTTTCCTTGAAAATGAAAAAATTCCACACAAATTCAAAAAAAATTGATCAGCATGAGTCTATTATTTTTTTACTTTAAAACAACACGTAATAACCTTCAAAAAAACCTACCAATTGAACCTAAATTGCAGTAAACTATGAATAATCAATTTTATTCCATTTTTTAAAATAGAATGTTTTCCTGGAAAATGAAAATTAATCAGCATGTCTCTATTATTTCTATTATTTTTTTTTTTAGTAGACTAATAATAATCAATTTTATTCCATTTTTTTAAATAGAATGTTTTCCTGGAAAATAAAAAAATTCGAAAAAAAATGGGAAAAAAATTCAAATAAAATTAATCAGCATGTCTCTATTATTTTTTTTCCTTAAAAAAACACCTAATAACCTTCAAAAAAACCTACCAATTGAACCTAAATTGCAGTAGACTAATAATAATCAATTTTATTCCATTTTTTAAAATAGAATGTTTTCCTGGAAAATGAAAAAATTCGAAAAAAATTCGAAAAAAATTCAAAAAAAATTAATCAGCGTGTCTCTATTATTTTTTTACCTTAAAACAACATGTAATAACCTTCAAAAAAACCTACCAATTGTACCTAAATTGCAGTAGACTATGAATAATCAATTTTATTCCATTTTTTAAAATAGAATTTTTTCCTTGTAAATGAAAAAATTTCACACAAATTCAAAAAAAATTGATCAGCATGAGTCTATTATTTTTTTACTTTAAAACAACACGTAATAACCTTAAAAAAAACCTACCAATTGAACGTAAATTGCAGTAGACTAAGAATAATCAGTTTTAATCCATTTTTTTGAATAGAATGTTTTCCTGGAAAATGAAAAAATTCCTTACAAATTCAAATAAAATTAATCAGCATGTCTCTATTATTTTTTTACCTACAAACAACACGAAAAAACCTTCAACAAAACCTACCAATTGAACCTAAATTGCAGTAAACTATGAATAATCAATTTTATTCCATTTTTTAAAATAGAATGTTTTTCCTTGAAAATGAAAAATTTCGACACAAATTCAAAAAAAATTGATCAGCATGAGTCTATTATTTTTTTACTTTAAAACAACACGTAATAACCTTAAAAAAAACCTACCAATTGAACCTAAATTGAAGTAGACTAAAAATAATCAATTTTAATCCATTTTTTTGAATAGAATGTTTTCCTGGAAAATGAAAAAATTCGAAAAAAATTCGAAAAAAATTCAAAAAAAATTAATCAGCATGTCTCTATTATTTTTTTACCTTAAAACAACATGTAATAACCTTCAAAAAAACCTACCAATTGTACCTAAATTGCAGTAGACTATGAATAATCAATTTAATTCCATTTTTTAAAATAGAATTTTTTCTTTGAAAATGAAAAAATTCCACACAAATTCAAAAAAATTGATCAGCATGAGTCTATTATTTTTTTACTTTAAAACAACACGTAATAACCTTAAAAAAAACCTACCAATTGAACGTAAATTGCAGTAGACTAAGAATAATCAATTTTAATCCATTTTTTTGAATAGAATGTTTTCCTGGAAAATGAAAAAAATTCCTTACAAATTCAAATAAAATTAATCAGCATGTCTCTATTATTTTTTTACCTACAAACAACACGAAAAAACCTTCAACAAAACCTACCAATTGAACCTAAATTGCAGTAAACTATGAATAATCAATTTTATTCCATTTTTTAAAATAGAATGTTTTCCTTGAAAATGAAAAAATTCCACACAAATTCAAAAAAAATTGATCAGCATGAGTCTATAATTTTTTACTTTAAAACAACACGTAATAATAACCTTAAAAAAAACCTACCAATTGAACGTAAATTGCAGTAGACTAAGAATAATCAATTTTAATCCATTTTTTTGAATAGAATGTTTTCCT